AAAACCTCGCATCCTAGGGGTCCAAAACCCGGATTTCCTCGCACTTCGCCCTGATGGCATCACCATATACTCATGGAAGGAGGGTAGACAGTTGGTGTGGGACTACACATGTGTATCCACCCTGGCTGACACCTATGTACACTTCGGAGCTGATCAAGCAGGTGGGGCGGCCAACCACAGGGAAACAGCAAAATCACTCAAGTACAGGCGACTGGAAGGTCAATACCTCTTTGTTCCCATAGCGTCTGAGACGCATGGCCCTGGGGCAAGAGTGCCTTGGGATTTCTCAAGGAATTGGGTTCCAAGCTCATTGACGTCACCAGAGACCCAAGGGCTTCCAGTTTTTTGTTTCAGCGCCTCAGTGTGGCGATGCAGAGGGGAAATGCTTGCTGCGTCCTCGGTTCCTGTGCAGAAGCGGAGGAGCTTCAAGAGATCCATAACCTTTAGGCATTTGTCTTGTATGTTTTGTAACCTTTAAATACACAATAAAGCAAAAAAAAAAAAAAAAAAAAGGAAGGGGGTGGTAGGAGAAAAGCACACAGAAATTGTATTGGAGGGGACCTACATTCCCTCCAATGCGTTATGTGTGGTTTCCTCTGAGGCTATGGGTCCCCCTTCTTCCAGCCAGAGGTGGTACTCCCTTCCCTATTAAAATATATATATATATATATATATATATATATATATATATATATATATATATATATATATATAATATATATATAAATATATATATATATATATATATATATATATATATATATATATATATATATATATATATATATATATATATATATATATATATATATATATATATATATATATATATATATATATATATATATATATATATATATATATATATATATATATATATATATATACGACCTTTTGTATACTAACATGTGCTTAATGATTTAGCATTCCCTAATATGTCACAACATACCCACTTTACATCTGGTCGCCCACTGCCCTAGAGTTCACAGCACTGGCGAAAGGGACGGATGCCCGAATGATGACCGACCCTCGCTGAAGAAGAAGAGCAGGCCGCTGGAGTCCACCCACACAGAAGCCGGAGTCAGGCAGGGCCTCACCGTGATGCTTGACGCACAGGTCGACGAGTACACCTACAGTACTTTCCACTCGGTCGGTTTCAAGGTCAGCCGGAGCATTATGAAAAGGAAAAAGGAAAGGCTCTATAGCACTTAAGACTTGATCCAGTTGTTAAGACTTGTCCTACTGCTTAAGTCTTTCTTCTCTTGTGTATTTTATATACTGTTGATGTAAAACTGTTCATTGATGATGCAACAAAGTCCACGAGTTTAATTATTTATTTTCAGTGTGGTTTTGTATCAACTTTTGTAAGAGTTTAGTTTAAAATGTTTTAATTAAATATGTAATTAGATTGATGTCAAATCTGGGTTGAAGAGTTCAGTTGAAGTTGGTTTCCAAATCCAAGTTCTTGAGGAAAGTGTCTTACTAATTTACTAATGGTTGAGCTCCCTTCACCATGACTATTGAATAGTCTGCCATGTAACCATAAGGTACCGCCTACCATGTATCCCCATAAACCCCTTATGGTACTGCCTACCATGTATTCTGTTGGTACCACCTACCAAGTATGCTGATGGTATTGACTACCATGCATACACATGGTATTACCTACCATGTGTCCCCATGGTACCGCCTACCATATAGCCCCACTATATAACAACTATAATGTATCTAACTATGTACTCCCACCATGTACCTTCCGCTACGTCCTCCCCCCATGTACCCTTTACTATGTATGCTTCCCACACACACACACACACACACACACACACACACACACACACACACACACACACACACACACACACACACACACACACACACACACACACACACACACACACACACACACACACACACACACACACACACACACACACACACACACACACACACACACACACACACACACACACGAGCAAATGTAAAGTTATGGAAATGGGACTAGGAGATAGGAGACCAAAGGGACAGTACACAATGAAGGGGAACAGCCTACCTGTAACGACGAGCGAAAGAGACCTGGGGGTGGACGTAACACCTAATCTATCTCCTGAGGCACATATAAATAGGATAACGACAGCAGCTTACTCTACACTGGCAAAAGTTAGAACATCATTCAGAAACCTAAGTAAGGAGGCATTTGGGGAGCTTTACACTGCCTACGTGAGGCCAGTCTTAGAGAATGCCGCCTCATCATGGAGTCCCCATCTGAAGAAGCATATAATGAAACTGGAAAAGGTTCAGAGGTTTGCAACGAGACTCGTCCCAGAGCTACGAGGGATGGGGTATGAGGAGCGCCTGAGGGAACTGTGCCTTACGACACTAGAAAGAAGAAGGGAGAGGGGGGACATGATACGAACGTATAAGATACTCAGAGGGATTGACAGAGTGGACATAGACGAAATGTTCACACGGAATAGTAACAGAACGAGGGGACATGGATGGAAGCTTGAAACTCAGATGAGTCACAGAGATGTTAGGAAGTTTTCTTTTAGAGTGAGAGTAGTGGGAAAATGGAATGCACTTCAGGAACAGGTTGTGGAAGCAAATACTATTCATAATTTTAAAACCAGGTATGATAGGGAAATGGGACAGGAGTCATTGCTGTAAACAACCGATGCTCGAAAGGCGGGATCCAAGAGTCAATGCTCGATCCTGCAGACACAACTAGGTGAGTACAACTAGGTGAGTGCACACAGACACACACAGACACACACACACACACACACACACACACACACACACACACACACACACACACACACACACACACACACACACACACACACACACACACACACACGCACATGAGAGACTCGAGAGGAGAAGACTCTCATGATGAGAGAGAAAACCCTCTATGTACCCCCACTATGTATGGGATGCATGTACACTAACAGAGCAAGTGGTGGGAGAGTTTAGGCGCTCCCTTAAGTCCCATTCCAGATTCCCAAGGCCTGGCGTACGGCTGTGATGGTGGTGTAAGAAGCCGACACCACCACACAGACGTACGCCATGCAGGCCTTGGGAACCTGGACTTAAGTGGAGTACCTAAACGCTCTCACCACTCACAATTTCACAGTGTCGTGAACCACTGAGGGCTTATCCTTGGAAGGAGCTTTATGACGGTGTATTCCGCTTTTTGGAATAGGAAGCACATCAGATTTGACATCCTCAGAAGCTTCGACCGACACAGAGCTCTGGGCTCTCCTGAGGGTATAGCTCAGGGCTCTTCTGGGGGTATAACTCTGAGATCTCTTGGAGGTATATCTCTAGGAACTCTTGGGGGTATAGCTCTGAGACCTCCATGGGGTATAGCTCTAAGAACTCTTGGGGTTATAGCTCTGGTATCTCTTGGGGGTATCGCTCTGGGACCTTCTTGGAGGTATAGCTCTGTACTCCTCAGTATTTGGTAGCTCTGTTAATGCAGCCTCTCTTGAACAGATTTAAGTATATTAGCAAAGTATGTTGATGCTCCAATTACTTGTCCCTAATATTGAAGTTATGCATACTAATCATTGTCTGATTCTGATTATGTTATGAGAGTTAGCATCTTTATTAAATCTTAAGTAGGTTAACTTTCAGATTACCGCAAATTCTCAATTTATACTCCAGTTGCGAGTTTAAAATAATTTAAATAATTTAATAATAATTATTAAATTATTTGTTTATAATAAATAATTTCTTTATTTATAACTGTTCCAATTGCAACTGATAAATCATTGCAAATTCCCAATGCAAACCTCAACTTCCTGGACAGCTTTACCACGCGTCCGAAACACTACGCAAATTAGTGGTCATGCATGTACTGATAATGGACACCAGTGTAACTAGTTTACACTCCACTCGCATCATCGGAGACTCGAGTATCCATGACCTAGTTTAACCCGTACTCAGACCAAGTCCATTCCATCCAGTGGTCGACCCCACAGACGCATTTATGAATTGTAATATGCTACTTTTTTCAAAAATTAAATTTTCTAAATATTAATTATTATTGCTATATTAGGCATATTTAGGCATTGGTTAGGTTAGATGTTTAGGTTCTACTGGCGATATTTCTATCTGTAATGCGTGGGTGAAGCATTTACACAACCCGTCCTCGACTCAAGTCCATTACATTCAGCGGTCAACCCCACAGACGCATTCATTAATTTTAACATGCTGGTCATTCAAAACGGGAATTTTCGCTAGTATAAATTAATATTATAACATATTAGCATATTGTGTATTTATAGGCATAGGATAGGTTAGGTTAGGTGTTTAGGTTCTGTTGGCGATTATTTGTATTTGTAGTACGTGGGTGAAGCATTTATAGCGTTGTGATTCGAGCAAAATTCGTCAGTGAAACACTTGTTCCGGATATGTTCGAACGTCAGCAGTTGTGAGTCGTGTGTAAACCGCTTTTCATTCATAAACAGGGGGTTTGGCGGGTGCATGGAATCACTTTTGGGTCTTTGTTTGGAGGACAACATTCTCGTACTTTTTGGGTCTGGATTCTAGTCTGTCTCCTTTGAACCAAATGAATGAAAGATTCTAATTCATCATCAAAATCTTAAACAAAATAACCCAATGTACCTATGTAAATACATACAATATGTATGTAAATATATATATAACAAATAATAATATTAAAACACCTGTCTAAAACAATTTGCAAGGGGTGTAATGCTAAGTTCACTTATAAATAAAGTGTCAAACTATGAAAATTTATGTATTTACTTAAAAGTATAACCATTAGCAAGTATTTTCATTCCAATTATTGTTATTGAGAAAATCATTGGAGTATCGAACAAGTGTCCTGATTTTCACCAGACGCGCGCCATACCCCCTAAGTCACGACGTGCTAAAAGCTATTAATTATGATGCTCTAAAAGCTATTAACTATTATTATTATTATTATTATTATTATTATTATATACTATTTTATTATTATATTGGATAAAATATGAAGTAATGTTGCCTGCTATTAAGTTAGTTGTGGACACAGATGGTGCTGCAGGAGCCAACCGGACCTCCTAGTATGGGCCACTACAGCGTGGTCATATCTCCGGGCACTGAAGCCTTCGTTCCTCTGGACGCCCACTCCACCTTCACCACACAGGCTGCTCTAAACCTTCGCCCTGATGAGAGGAAGTGAGTAGAACAGCACCAAGGGGTAGGGTGCCCTGGAAGACACGGTCAGGAACTGAAAGAGAGAATTAATTGATATCCAGGAACATGGTATACCATATAAATTGATTAAATGTAATAAAATTAATCCAAAACAGTCAATCGTGGGACTCCCGAAGCTTATCGGTAATAAGAAAACTGTTAGTGGAACAAACTAATTAAAAATGGGGGGGGGGGATGTATCAGGGATAACATTTTATTAATTTATCAAGTACAGTTAAAACAGACATAAGGAAAGCAAAAAAATTACGAAACACACATCTAAAAAATAAATCCAAAGATATGTTTTAGGCAAAAACATACTTAAAATTCTATTTTCAGATATACCAAACGAAGATCAGAGTGAGTTAGATCACGTAACTGATAGTGACCAAGTGACCAAGTGTTTTAACTGATAGTGACTCAAGATAGGAAGACTCAAGATGACCAAGAAATGGATGGCATTCTAAAAAATTAACTTCGAGTTTAATAAAGAAGAACTTTAAATGTTTTAATTACATTTTAACAAATCAATGTTGGTGATGAAGAGGACAAGTTAAATTGCTTAATAATTAATGAGAAGAAATGTATTTAGCGAATACAAATTGAGTGAAATAAGTTCCCAGGAGCAGATGAGGTCCTCGCCCGAGTCTTTAAGAAATGAATAGATAGACTCTGCGGACCATTGACTTTCATATTAAATAAATTAGAGTCGAACAAATTACCAGAGTTGCAAATATTGTACCACTCTTCAAGATGGGAGAGCTTGCGTCGAACTATCAGTCTATTAACATAACGTCTATTGTGGGAAAAATGCTTCGCTCGCTAATCGCAAAAGCTATCCCTATATATCTTGATACGCATTGATTAGTAAATTGTTTTGTGTTGTAATATGTAACACTGTGTTAAGATCTCTGTTAACAAGGGGGTTGTTATATGCGCTAATCTTGTGACTGCCAGTTCTTCATCTTTCTTGAGAATGTAAATTAAGCTTTCAAAATCTCTCATCATGAAAGAGGATTCTAATTCCTGGAATTAATCCTAGCTTCCTTCTCTGTGCTCGTTTACATGGATGTATGTCCATTTTATAGTGTGTGACCAAAGTTGAACTACATAAGTCTAAGAGGGGACTGGCATGAGCAAAATATGCCTGAAAAAGGAACATTATTTTAAGGGTAACGCTTCAAAAAATAATTTCCTGCATACTATTTGCCGTATTCCTAACTTTGATTAATGTATTTTTTTTGCTGTATATCCCTACTAATGAAGACTATCAGATATCTCTCGCTTTTAGACTTCGTAGTCTCATCGCAATCCTGCAGATATGTCGCAACTATCATCATTACACAGCCTCTGAACCCGACATTTTTGCCATTATACTGTGATTACTTACATTTCATCCATATAAAAAGCCTGTCTAGGTCGTTATAAAGTAGTTTGTCTTCTAAATTTATTTCATGCCATTTTTTTTGCTCTTTTGTATATCTGCAAATATTGCTGCTCAATCCTGTATCTGTATCATTTTTATATATTGCAAACAACAGAAGTCCCAGGACAAAACCTTCAGGTATTCCACTCAGAATGAGTTCCCAGGACTTAACTCCAGTTATACTGTGTTTCCAGTGAAAGATCCACGCCCATATCCATCTTAGGATAGTTCCCCCAATACATTGTTCATTTGACTTTCTGAAGCCTCTAATGAGACACAGCATCAAAAGCATCTTGAGATGATGAGGATATCTTGAAATGATTTCGGGGCCTAGCGTCCCCGCGGCCCGGTCCTCGACCAGGCCTCCTGCATAAATAAATCACATTTACATGACGCTAACGCAATCAGTTGGAGCCATGACGAGCATTCGAACCTATGCTCTGGGTATTCCCAAGCATTGTCTCACAGTATCAAAAGCTTTGCTAAAGCCCAGGTATTCAAAGTCGCACTCCTGTCAGAATAACGTAGTCAGTTATGAGCAGTTCCTTATAAAGCAATTTTGAGAATCCGTAAGTGATCCATCTTTTTGAGGATGTAGATGAACTGCTTTTGCGATTATCGACTCATGCAATTTTCCCTCAATAGAAGTTAAGCTAATTGTCCGATCAAAACAAGTGATATAAACCATTTACAGATTTGCACAACATGAGTACCTCTGTTTACCTTTCCGTATATCAGGTGTTACAAGGACCAGGAGAAACGACTAGTGTCGTCGCCGGAGATTTACACCCACGAGGCATGCGTCCTGGACTACCACAACAGCCTGCTGCAGAGGGCGTGTGGCTGTAGGGACTTCCACATGAAAGGTTCGTAAACCCTCACACGAAGGGCTGAGTGCTGGCGAGGGAAGCACCGACAACAACACTAAACATTGTGATCGCACTCAATGTTTTGTTGGCAGTGTTTGTCTTGACTGTCTCCCTTGTATTGTGTTCTTTTCTCACTTGCTGAATGTTGTTTCTAGTGCTATTTGATGTGTATCGTTTCTATTACTATTTGCTGTATGTCGTTACAATTACCATTTACTGATATTGGCCGTAATATTTGAACAAAGGCAACTGCAGAAGGCCTATTGGCCCATACGAGGCAGAATAGGCAGAATTAGCTCTTCTTGCTGCATCAAAGCCTTCCTACATTCTTGTTATTGAATGTTCTACAGGGAAAAGATATATACATCTGTGGTTAACTAGCGGTAAACAATTTAAGGCAAAGTGAAACTCTTTGTAACTAGTTTACCACAATTGTTAGTTGATGAGCCTATTGAATATTAGGTTCTCCAGCAATTTTGTGGCAAGAAGATTACACTACCGGTCACAGGATGAGTAAGTGGTCACTACCTCTCAGAGGATGGGTAAGGGGTCACTACCTCTCAGAGGATGGGTAAGGGGTCACTACCTCTCAGAGGATGGGTAAGGGGTCACTACCGCTCACCGGATGGGTAAGGGGTCACTACCGTTCACCGGATGGGTAAGGGGTCACTACCGCTCACCGGATGGGTAAGGGGTCACTACCGTTCACCGGATGGGTAAGGGGTCACTACCGCTCACCGGATGGGTAAGGGGTCACTACCGCTCACCGGATGGGTAAGGGGTCACTACCGCTCACCGGATGGGAAAGGGGCCACTATCACTCACAGAATGGTGTGGAAATTTTCATCCACTATATCAGTATTATAATCTAAGAAATCATTATTTCAATATAATATCTATAATTTACATCAGAATCATATCAGAATCAAATCAGATAAATTATCTTGTGTCATCCTTCAACTAGATCCTCCATGACAATGCCACAATGGTAACATTTGCCATTCGCCCCATAGATGCCTGTACTCACCTATTGGTACTCACCTATTTGTGCTTGTGGGGTTGAGCTCTGGCTCTTTGGTCCCGCCTCTCAACTGTCAATCAACTGATGCACAGGTTCCTGAGCCTACTGGGCTCTATCATATCTACACCTGAAATTGTGTTTGGAGTCAGCCTCCACCACATCCCTTCCTATGTGACTTCGTACATGTAATCAAGAATCTAGAAGCTTCAAGAATAATTACCTTAATAAACTATTGGAACATCAATTGAATTCTGGTAACGGTTAATTCAAATCAGTTACAGGGAATCAGTTCGTACTACCTATAATTATTAAATCCACTATCCATTTATCTTATAATTCCACTTTATCTGAAATTAATCATCTTAATGAGGAGAAATAAATCATTTAATTATCATGGCCAGTCAGCGCCAACACAGAGCCTGGTGGCGTTGGCTGAAACGACATATACCGGAGACCATTATTTACATCCAAGCAGTGTTGTTGTTGTGTTGATTTCAAAACAAGCAAGACGCCTTGGTAAAGGGTGAGGCGCCGGAGAAAATTTTTGTGCAAGGACTAGGCTATAGGAACGTTGCAAAATACGTTGAGGAGCCCATACTGTGCATGAAGTATTCACGTTGGGGACATATGGCATGGAAATGCCAGTTTGACCCCATGGTGTCGGTATTGTGGGAAAAACACGACTCGCGAGAGTGTAGAGTCAAGATTGAAAGAAGTGAAAAAATCATCCCATTTTGTTGCAACTGTCGAGGCAGCCACAATGCTGGTTCCTCTCTATGCCCCATGAAGCCTCATCTGAAAGAGACTAGGACGGGTCTTACAAGCAGGATAGATGTATCCTCGCAGCAAGGAAAGATTGTGCAAGAGGAACATGGAGGAAACAGTTGGAAGCCAACGACAGCCCCTATGATCAATGTGTGGGAAAAAGGGACGGAGAAAGTAAAGGTGAGCCTAGGGAAAGTACATCATGCAGTGGAAAAACTGAAACCTTGTGAGGACAAGGTTCAGGACAATACGGTCACCTCTGAGGTTGGTAATCAAATTTTGGAGTATCTAAAAAAACTAGATAAGAGGATTGAGGCATTGGAAAAATTAGCTATGGAAGGTAGACGGGGTGAAGATGGTGGTGAAACAGGACGTGTAATTGAAAGTAAAACGGGACGTGAAATGGAAAGAGAAACGTGCGTAGAAGAAAGTAATGATGTGCATGAGGTAACGATGATAGAGGATAGTCAGGAGAATACACTTTCTAGTAGTGTTCGCGTTGTTCAACCTCCAGTTGTGACAAATGGTGAAAGAACGGTTAAAGTAAAACGGGTTACAGAAATAACAAAGAAAATATATATGAATAATATTACCTTCGATGTTAGTAGTAGTTGTGAAGGTGAGGAGAAAGAAAAAATGTTACGGTGTTGGAAGGAAGTTTCTAAGGTACTCTCGTATCTCATGGAATGTGACGGACAGAGCAAAGGTAGTTTTATTATTAATCATGGATGAAAGTAAATTGAGAATATTATCTTGGAACATTAATGGATTAAAAACTAGAGCGGCGGATGTACACTATTATACTCTTAGAGAGGATATTGACATAGTAGCACTCCAGGAAACTGGGGATAGGGATGGTAGCATTCTGAGGCTAAATGGCTATAGAGGCTTTCACTTATATGCTGATGGAGGAACTAGGGGGGTCTCATGTTATGTCAAAAGTACCATACCTGCCGAGATAACTGGAATCCCTCAGAGATATAGAGGTATTGAAAGTATTAGCTTGCGGATACAATTAAAGTACCGAGAGTTAAATTTCATTAATCTATACATCTCTGATAGCTCCCTTGATTTAAGATACATGCCAGATTCCTTCTTTTCTGAAGACACACTTGTGGTAGGGGATTTTAATGCCAGACATCCAGCTTTAGGATCAAGGGGTAAAGCAAATAGGAATGGTTGCAGATGGTACCAGTTTTTGCAGGAACATGAAGATGTTCAACTGCTGGGCGAGCCCTCTCCTACTCATCTGAGGGGAGGGAGATTAGATTATGCTTGTTTAATAAATGCTGAGGGCATAGAGGGGAATTGTCTTACTGTGGATGAAATGCTAAGTGATCATTTTGCAATACAAATACAGCTTAAGCTAGATAAAAAGCATGCCTGCCTTCAGAGGAAAAGGTTAAAGTTTAATGAGGGAGAATTAAGGGGTCTTGTTGGCCATATTAAGTCTTGGTATGATACTTATAAGGCAGTTTCGGCAGAAGCATTTTATGAAGATTTAATTAAGGAGGTAGATGTATTTAATGCAACATTGAACCGGAAACCATCTAGTATAAAAAGGCATCTCCCCAGAAAAGAAAATTATACACATGACAAGATGCTTAAGGGGTGGACATTAACAATGAGGAGAGCTCACAGGGATTGGAATAGGAATGGTAGGACTGAGGAAGGGAAGAATGCTTTACTGGCAGTTACTAGGCTGTGTGGGGAGAAGAGAAAGGAAATTAGGAGCAAGTATTGGCAGGAATTTGCAGAGAAAGTTGGGAGTAACAGAAACTTGAAGGAAATCTGGCAAGACGTAAATAAAATAAGGGGTAAAAAGCATAATTTTGTTGCACATCCAGACCCGCAAGGAATTGCAAATGGGCTCGTAAATAAATGGGCGGAAGCTGCCAAACTTAGTTCATTACCAGCTGTAACGAGAGAGTCATTAGATTCTTGGAAAGATCTAGGTCTGAGGTCTGAGGAAAGATCTAGGTCTAGGTCTCTAGGTTTCTGCCCGAAACGCTGCGCGTACTAGTGGCTTTACAAGAATGTAAATACTATACTATCCAATGTATTCTCTCAAACCCAATGTACCTTCTTGTATATATATAAATGTCCTTAACCTCGTGTTTTTGTAAAATGATGGAGAGGATCATTTTAAATAGACTTATATATAATAGGTGATCAGCTGTCTAGTAATTTGTTCGGGTTCCTCAAAGGAAAAAGTACCTCTGATTGTATTATTAAATGTCTAGCTAATGATAATGATTATTATAGAATTTTTATTGATTTACAAGGAGCTTTTGATAAACCCAACAACGAGGTTATCTTATATGAATTAGCTGGTCTTAGTGTTAAAGGGAGATTATTGCGCTGGATAGGGGATTATCTTTACGAAAGGAAGGCTCAGGTGTGGTATCAAGGTTGTATGTCAGGTGTGAGATCTTTTGAACTCAGCACAACTCAGGAAGAAGTGTTGAGTCCCACCCTGTTTAATATACTAATGAATAAGATAGCATCTGAGAGATACTCAAATGGGGTAATTCCGATCATATATGCCGATGATATTCTGTTTCAGGGCAAAGATATTTCAAAGGTTCAAACGGTGTTGGATAATTTCGAAAACCTGTGTCACCATATGGGACTGGTGGTTAATGAAGACAAAACTTAGTTTGAATTTAGAAGTCGGAGGCCCATTATATTGAATATAAACGGTAAAAATATAGAGAGTTAATAAAAATAAATGTTTAGGCATATATATTGGATATACCCATGAGAGTTTGGAAGCTGAGATGAACAGACTGTTGAGTCAATGTCGGAAGAGATTACAACCTCTGAAGGCCTTGGCATGCTGTGGAAAGGGAGTGGGAGTCCCTGTGCTACGAATGATATACTTGAGTACTGTAAGATCCCTTATTGATTATGCTGTACCTGTCATTTCTTGTTTTGGTAAAGGTAGGATGGGCAAGTTGGAGAAGGTACAAAATGAAGCGATGAGAATTACCTTAGGATGCCCAAGAAATGCTATGATTGACATAATGAGGATGGAGTTGATTCTGAAGAGTACTGGGGATAGAATTTCAGAGATAAATGAAGCCTCTGCTATTAGATTAATGAGGTGGGGGAGCTAATGAATTAATCCTCTCAACTCAAAAGGTGGGAAGTAATGAACAATGTATGATAAAGAAGAGAGCATATATGAGTACCTTGTGCTCTAATGTTA